GTTAGTTTTACAGATATCTAATACAACTCCCTTCAGTCATCCTTCTTCCAAAGTGAAGAATTCTTACTTGACTATTGCTCACACTGAACCTGATTCCTTCCTTTCATCATCCATTTTATCATCCCACAAACCTTTTGAGTCCTACAACTTTTTTAAACATGTAAGAAACAAACCACCCAGTATTCTAGATACATGCAAATCACTTATTTATACAGTGGAATAATGACTTTTATCCCTTTGATCCTTTTTAGTCTATACCCTTTTCCTAATAATTCCTAAAATTCAGTTTGATTTTTTAACTGCTAGCACACACTTTGAACCAACAGGTATTTTCCTGGATTATAACCCCTAAGTAGGGGGATTGGATTGTTTTTCTGTTAAGCACATCTCCTTATACATCTATTCACAGTTTCATCAGCCCTGCTCCTTCCTAACCTGAATAATTTGATATTATTGCCTCGACATTGCTCACTGCTAGCTCCCTTTAGCATGTTTTTTATAAACAATTAAAAAATCCTTCCATCTGCAAAAAGAAAGCAATGGTGACCCTTTTAGGGGAAGTGGTCTGTAATAATACAGAGGTGTGGGAGACAGCTATAGCATGTGACTGCTCCCAAATGTTTCTTTCCTCCAGTACCTCTAGCAGTGGGAAAGCTCCGTTAAACCAGAGCTGCATACACAAACATATCTAGGATCAGAAACGGGGATAGACACACCTGTCCGAGAACAAGAGAGAGACAAACCTACCATCCAAGGATTTTTCAGACAAGTGAATTACTGAAAAATTTTGCTAAATCATTTATGCAACAGGTTCATGCATAAGAGTGTTTCTCTTCCACTGGACATACCTTATTATTGCTCTTATAATGCTGACATTTAGGATAATTAGTCCTGCTGGGTGTAATTAGACTCATTTGGAGTTATTTCTGGAAACAGGAAATAGTGTTTTAAGAGAATACTAACAGAAAATATAATTTAAAAAAAAACAACTTCCCCACAGGGACTCTGGAAAAGCTAGTTAACTAATGTGTGCTTGACGTTTGAAAGTATTAAGAACTTGAAATCACCATGTATTATAAAATCTCTCTAACCTCAAAAGGCTGAGTTTCATATGATTCACATGGATTTGAAGTGAACTAAGGTCAGAACACGTTGGATCACCCTACAGAAAATAGCACAGAACTGGAGAGAAACATATATTGAATAGGACAAAGATCAGATAAAAATAAACTAATAGAGCCAGAAGTAGGTGAAGGGCTAACCTCTACCCCCTGTGCCAAAGTTAGCAAATGTAATGACAATATGTCACTGTCTATCCTTCTCCCCTCTCCTTAACTCTCCTGGCAAGAGCCACCAAAGAGCCAAAACCAGCAGAGATCTCAAAGCCTAACCAAAATGGGAATTCTCTCCAAGAACGTCCTGCCAAGTAATTCTCACTATGTTCTGCTCCTTCTATAGAAATACTGGGCTGGCTTTGACAGCTCAGAAAACCGAGAGAGATGAATCCTACTTTCCACAGACACAGGCACAAAGCACACAGCCCTGTGAAACCAGCTATTTGAGAACATGGAACACAGGCAAGTGAAGAAGAGGGTATAACCACACACACAAAACACTCACAATTTGCCTCCAAGACCAGACCAAGATGAAGATTTTGAGTAACTGACTGTGTGTGCATGTGCTTAATTTGGGCATTAAAGTTGTGCATCTTCATCATGTGCATTTGTGTAGCACATGAACTTGGAAGTGTTTGATTTACAGCATACAAATTTGTCATAAATCACCCCATAACCATTCTCTACTCAAAAGACTAAAGAAAACTGTTTGTTTCAGATTTCAGGTAATCAGTTATTTTTTCATAATAGCTTATTATAGATTATATAGTTTACTTTTTTCAGTTTCACAAAATTATGATAAAACAGACCACATTATCTAAGATTTTTTTTTAATATACTAGGCAATTTAAAGTAAAAAAACAAGCGCTCACATGACCAAAAGAGATTTTTCCAAAATTAGCCCACTATAACAAAAAAGACCACTGAAATCTAGTCTGAGTGAACTACACACCTCTAATAAAAGGCAATCACGGTGCCAGGATCCATACTGAAACAACAGTCATTGGCAAAAGATACTACACTTTTGAAGCCTGCCCAGAACCCGGGATTTCCCCTTTAAGGTGACTGTTAAAGTTATTCTCACTATCTCTGCCCCTCTGTGACCCCTAAATCCTTCATATGATTGAGGATCTTCTGTAAAAATCAAGAGTAGTTAAGACATCCCTCATGCTACTCTAGTTTATAGTTAGGCTTTCCCTTGAGGGTGACCAATATAAATCTGAACCTTTCAGGCAGCAGATTGTGCATCTCCCATATCCTCGAACCGGCTTTGTTTTGTAAATAATCTCTAGAGCTCTTTTATTCTTCATATTCTTCCTATATGTCCAATGTAAGATTATACCACCTTTTTCTGAATGAGAATTTGTCACAGTGAAAACACATATATCAGCTACCATTTCTTTCTGCCCATTACCAACACTCATCCAAAAGTGTTTCTGCATTTATTTTTACCCCAAATTTGTACATGTATCAGACCCCCAATGCATATGCGGCACATTCAGCAAGCAGCTGAAACATTAGAAGAGTTCTTGATTCAAACAGTAAACTACAAACAGTACTGCCAACTCATATTTCTATTGTAATTGCATTTACTCATATTTTTACGTTCTCTAACGTAAAAGGAATGGGAACTAAGTTCATCAGAGTCACCTTGTTTAAAGCTATCTATTCACAGGAAACTGTTCTTGAAATCAAAATCGGCAAGTTACTTGACGATGACAAAGTGAAGTAACTGAAAACTTGGCCAATTCTATATGACATTATCAAACCTGAATTGTTCATCCAATCCGGACTTCTGAAGCTTTACCACATAGTCTATAAAACTAAAATAATTCATCTACCTGTACCAAAGTCCATAGTTCTGTCCAAAATGTGGCTCTCCTGTTATCAAAGTCTATGGGATTTATCCAGCACAGAACCCTAAAATCTCATTGAAAGGAAATACTTAAATGGTAACTTAGAGCCGATTAGTACAGTAAACTATTCACCTGTTAACCTTGCTACTGTAGATAGGTGGTAAAAGAATTTCAGTTTAAAATTTTGCTTTGTAAAAGGAAGTAAAACACAAAGTTAATCAACAGAGGGCAATATATCAGGTGATATTATATTGGGAGTGGTCTATTTAGCAGAGAAACAAAATAAAATGACAAGCCGTTATTATTCACCTCAGTAGTAATTGCCTGTGTACCACGGGTATTCTTTATTTTTTAGCATAACCCAAGGCAGAACCTGATTCACTGATAAATAGCAGGATTGAAAACTGATGCATATTTTTAGTGTCAGTTCTACAACTTTTTACAGGTAGCTGAGTTCTTTAAATAAAGACACAGTAAAAATTGTATTGTACATAAATACAAACATACATATACACCAGCTTTAAATTAACATGCTAAAAATCATCTAAATATATATTTTATATAAACTCACAATCAACAACTATGTTTTGGGTTTTTTTAAACAGCAGTTACTTTTCCATACAATAAAGATTTTTTTATTTTATTTTTAATCATTAGTGGTTGTAATAAAGCCTTCACAGAAAGAAACCAAATTTTTGCAAAGGAAAGATCTCAAAGTTAATGGGAAATTTAACTCCAAATTTGGCAAAGCATTTGGGTATGTTAATTTAAGCACTTCAATAAACCCCAATATAAACAGATTCAAAGATAAGAGGCACAATTCCAAATGCCATTTAATTATTTATGAGCTTAAAATTGAACACATGCTTAAGTGCTTTTCTTAACTAATATTAACTGGTTTTATAGTAACTGAGATGTCTTGAAAACGTAGGAAGAAGTTTGATAGTTATTTTACACCTGACCTCTCCAGCATATGCTAAAACTCTTCCTTACTAGGGACAAATCCTGTAAAAAGCAAGCACACAACTACAACATCATACTGACATTTGATAGAGGAAGTGTAAATAAAATGAGTAAAACTGACAGAAAGTTGTTTTTTTTTTTGAAAGTCTGAATTACAAATCCTCAAGTAATGCAAAAATCACTGATCCCCGAAAATATTCGGATTATGAAATAAAGACGCATCATTCCTGTAGGACAGGTGTAATGATTAAGAGTAGATTTACAGGACACTACCTTTTGTAGCATTCCTTCCATTGCACTTAAATGGCTTATAAAACGATCATGAATATGATCATGATTATCAGCATACAATCATGAATATCAGCACTTAAGTGTGACCTCTAATTAAAGAGGGAAACATCTTTTTAACTCTACTGCAATGTAAAACTTGAAAGATAAGCCACCCTTTGGGATACAGACTTACTGAGAGAGGAAGAGGAGAAGAAAAGCGGGATTGACCAACTGTGTTACTCTTTTTTCATTAGTTCCTTATTTCCTCTCCTGTTTTTCTCCCATTTGCTTTCTTGCAGCGTTCACTTTTTCTAGTAACAGGAATATGTGTTCTGCAAGCTCCCTGCCAGCTCCACAGCCACCATTGCTTTTACAAATATAACCAGCAGCCTTCTGAGCAACTGCACAAGCATCAGCAGGCACACCACTCATGCCAGCTTTCTTCAGGCATTCCACATCAGACTCTTCATTTCCTATTGAGAAAGATGACAGACAAGGCAAAATATCACAGAAGGGAAAAACCGAGCAAACTCATTATGTTTCTGTGTACATATTGATCTATTTCTTAAAATTTGTGTTCTTGCCACAGTTTTCATCTCAGCAGCTCAACAGCACTTTGCACGTGTGAGTCAGTTCTTGGAAAATCTTAGGGATAAATGTAAACGCTGATCACACTTCACACAATCTTCAGGCAAGATAATGGTACTTTTAAGAGTAGTAAAATTATCTGAGCAACTGAATAAGCATTTGCAGGACTATATGCTTAAGCTGTCACTGAAATATAGTTTTGTACTGAATCATATGGCTTTCAGTTTTAATTCTGTACATTTCTTGTTTCCATTTCAGAATATAATCTATACAATATCCATCTGAAATGAACCAGAATCAGTTAAAAATTGTGAGCTGTAACCATATGCTTATGTAATATCAAAAGCTTTCCTAAATCCCATTATAAAAACAGCTAAGACTTCCCTTACCAAATTAGACGCTTATTCATCAATGCCTTTAATATTTAGATTGTACCCTAACAAGCCTTAAAATACGTACCTGCTTTTGGTGATTGTGTGCTGTAATTTGCATGTCAATCCCATTAAGTTTAGTGTATTAACAAAGGCCAAAGTGTTTTGAAGCTAAGCAGCACTATGAAGTTTGCATGTGTGTGTGCTATGTGAAATTTTACTACCAAAAAAAAAAGGAACTGACCTAAATAAGCGACTTCTTTCCAGCTCAAACCCATGTCTTTTTGCCAGTCCTCCAGAACTTGTAATTTATTTGTTGCACTAACTTTTGCTACACATCCCAGCTGCATGGCTGACAGTGTTTTTGAACAATCTCTTTCAGAGATGAGTCGAACCTATTAAAATAAAGCCAAGTTAGAGTAAATTCTACATACAAAGAAATAAGACATGTAAGTTGATTTATTAAAAAAACAGTACAAGTTTTGCTCATAGAAGCGCTCTCAGATATGAGAAAACATTGAATAACTGGTTTCTCCAATCAAAACTCAGAGCAGAAGTGATTAGCATCCAAACCCACATTACAGTCTTGAAGTTGCTTTGGGAAAGTGAAACACCATTCTGTAGGCTTCCCTGAGGTTCAAAAAAAGAAATTTACATTTGTCTTTTTAAATGCAACGTGTACCAAATAAAATACTGGGTATCACAGTACAGTGGCATGCTGACTATCTAGTGCAATATCGTCTAATTAAGCCACAGTAGGGAATAAGAGAATTCCCAAGGAAGATTTCTGTAATATTTGTAGAATATTATGAAGTATTTTCCGTGACTCCTCTACCTAATATATCATTTTATTTACAGTAGGACTTCAGAGCATCAACAGAACACTAAACAGACTGAAGGAGCACAGCACATTAACCTCTGAAAATTCATTCCAAATTTGAAATTTCAGAAACGATGTACAAGGTAGGCTAAAACCAGAAGATTACTGCAGCAGGATTTTTAAAAATCTCCAAGTTTTCTGTCTAAGCTGTGGACAAGCTGTCCTGGTTTCGGCTGGGATAGAGTTAATTTCCTTCCTAGTAGCTGGTACTGTGCTGTGTTTTGGATTTAAGGTGAGAACAATGTTGATAACACACCGATGTTTTAGTTGTTGCTAAGCAGTGCTTACACTAGTCAGGGACTTTTCAGCTTCCCATGCTCTACCGACTGAGAAGGCTGGAGGTGCACGGGGGGCTGGGAGGGGGGGCACAGCCAGGACAGCTGACCCAAACTGGCCAACGGGATATTCCATACCGTGTGACGTCATGCTCAACATATAAAGCTGGGGGAAGAAGGAGGAAGGGGGGAAGGGGGGGACGTTCAGAGTGATGGCGTTTGTCTGCCCAAGTAACTATTACGCGTGATGGAGCCCTGCTTTCCTGGAGATGGCTGAACACCTGCCTGCCGATGGGAAGGAGTGAATGAATTTACTTGTTTTGCTTTGCTTGCGTGCGCAGCCTTTGCTTTACCTATTAAACTGTCTTTATCTCAACCCATGAGTTTTCTCACTTTTACTCTTCCGATTCTCTCCCCCATCCCACTGGGGGGGAATGAGCGAGCGGCTGTGTGGTGCTTAGTTGCCGGCTGAGGTTAAACCACGACACAAGCTTACCTTCCTTAATTGCTTTTAAATACTAACAAATACTTGGCACTGATTTTAAGTGCAAAATGAACAGGAGTGGTGCACAAAGCAAGAGTATATCAGCAACACATACTAGAAACACATAAAGTGCAGCACAAAGACCAGGAGGTTTTTAATGAAAGATTCCAAGTCACAGCAAGTATGGAAATGGCCTCCCACAGGCAACAAAACAACGATTACAAGACTCCTTCCCCTTTTGCCTCACAGAAAATGAAGCTGAGGGAGTTTTGAAAAACCATCTACTCCATTTCACTGCCCCAAGGCAGCAACAGCTGCATCAAAGCATGTCATGAATGTCTCGTCTAACCTGTTATAAAAAAAAACCTCCTACAATAGAGACTCCAAAAAATGTATCTGGAGAAGTCTACTTGGGGTATAGCCACCTTTGTCTTATCCATGTCTATCTCCATCTGCAACAGGACTGAGTTAAGGCTCTTTGAAGGCAGCCTAAATCTGTACTTTGTTCTTACCCCAAAAAATTCTTCTAGCTATATCAAAGGCAACAGCACAGACAGAAAATAGCCAGGAGGCTAATTTTACATAAATGCAAGCAAATATTCAGATCAGCAGAATTCAGTAGCAGTAATAATAATCAATAATAATAATAGTAGCCATGTTACAGTCTGTGTTGTTTCAGTTTTTCATTTACACTGAGTTCTTACAACTTCAAAGCACGTAAGTTATGGTTAAAACAAATAAGCAGACAAAAGTCTTTGGGGGGTTGATTTCCCCTCTTTGCAACAATCATGGGTGATCTAGGATGAACCAAGTAATTTGCCTGGGTATTTCTTCCTCTTCTATAGCCAAGAGGTAACAACATATTCCTGCTTGGTAAAGCTGACTTCTAAATAATGAGTGTCTAGACTACACAGAACACTATGATTGGTGCTAGCAAAACACCATAAAAATTTCTTCCCACATTTTTCCAGTACAAAAAGAGAAAGATGCTATAGCTACTAGGAATGAGATTGAGAACCTTCTCAAAGCACTTATTTTCCTCTAAGGGATCCGAGAGCAACATTTGCCCCAACCCTGAACCAATGTATTATGCTGCTTGATCACAAGTAGTCTGAAGAAACTTCAACTTATATGCTGCAGGGTTTTAGAATCTTTTCATGTTCAGGTTACATGACAAATAAAGCCTCACACTTCAGAACACCACTCACCTGGATTCCTCTTTTCTTTAATAGATCGATACCAACAGTATCTCTATAATCGTAGGAGACCATTTCCTTCTGATCTTCTGTCACATAAATGCGACCATTTGTCAGGCATCCATCAATACTGCAAACCAATAGCTTCACCTCTTTTAATGGCTCTTTGCCAAAATATCCAAAGCTAGACAAAGAAATTATCTTTTTAGGATAGAAGTTCTTGCACACTCCAAGCCCAAATATTTCAAATACAATTGTGATCTTCAGACAGAACAATCAGCTTTGAAATTCTTTTTTTCTAATGTCTTTTCTCATCTTCTTCACTCTCTAACTATATTCTCCCTCTTCAAAGAAAAAAACAGAATTATCCAAAAGACAGCTCAGTTATGCTCTCCATTTAAAAATCAGGATGAGATTTATTTCCTTAGCATAAGAGATTATGTTCTGTAGCATTTATCTGGGGCAAAACCAAAATGGAGTGAAGGCTGAAAAAGGCACAGAAAACATATTCCATTTCCACCCATTATTTCCTTAGAGACATGCAGAGTAGCTGCAAAGAAAAGGCAGCTGGCAAGATGTAATCAGCTCATGCCTTCTACATGAACACTCTCAGTCATGTGCGTCAGTAAATGTGGTCCAGACCATGGAAGCCTAGACAACTCAGCTGGAAAAGCCAGAGATGATGCTAACACATTGCTATGGTATAGTGGGGCTTACACTTTTCCCCAAGCTGAACTTTAAAAAACAAAAAACCCATATAGCAAAGGTAATTCAGATGATTTCAAAGGAGACAGGAAAAAATGATGGGCGGAAATAAAGTTGTCCAATTATCTTTGATCTTGATTATTTACATTATGTACATTATGAATTCACGTGACCGTATTTTGAAACAATAAGCAATATCAAAGAAATAAAAAGTGCTTTTACCTCAGTACTCTCTGCTCTGCAATAGGCCAATCAATGTCTATATCAATATCCACACTGTGCTCTGCACGCATTTCATAGTAGGCCATTTTACCACCCTAAATAGAATAGAACCCATTAAAATTTTCTGCTTGGGTTAATACAGGTACAAAACTGTACAATTTGGTACCATGTAATGAAAGCTAAGTATCTGGTTACACAGCGGTCACAGTAGCTTAAATATAAGTGAACCATCAATAATGATGTTTTGCCAGTGACACAGAACCAAGCATTTGAAACAACTTTCTATAGGCAATGGTTAGTAAGTATTTTCATTTTACAATCAGAGAAAGCGTGCAAGAAAGATGTTATGCATTATGATTTCACATCACTCTGATTTCACCAGGTCGTTTAATACAGTAAAATAGTAATACCTTCATCATTTACTTAGTAAGACTATGCTTATTTTTTGTTTGTTATCTACACAAAGACTTAATTTTAATTGGAAAAATATCTGCCATACCTCAATGTAATTAAAAAAAAAACCCTAAAAGCCCTGATCCTCAGAGGGCCCAAACTTCATAAGATGTAGAATTCAGCACAATTGTACTATCCAGATCAATGCTTGGAAGTCCATACAGCACTAGCCGGCACTGCATGGGTCTGTGCAAATACAGAGACCTAAAGCTAGTATCTCTGCATTAGTGAGGTATCTGGAAAAGAGAGAAATAAGAACCTGGTGCTCTTGACGTACCTAGTAAGATATTCCGGTTAGAAATACGGAAATATCTACATTGGGCTTTTTTTCAGTTCTGCTGACAAACTTTGGAAATGATCTGTAAGATGGAGAACTTGTCTTGCATGAGAAAACTAAGAGACTATACTTGTAGACAAACAAAATGAAAGCTGAAGTAAATACATTTGTTCTGCATTACTACACTGGGACGTAAACATCAGGAAAGGGAAGACGACTGTTTAGGTTACAGCACAAAATCTGCATAAGACTAAACTGGCCAAGAATACAAGTTTATAGACTATGAGAAGCCTGTAACACTGCATGAAGGTCAGTTTCACACTCTTAGTAACACTAAAATGAGTTATAAGATACGCACTTACATCCTGGCAAACTGATGTGAAACTCAGTATTGTATTGTTTTAGGCTTATAGCTATATACTGCTCAATATTATTTGTATAAATTTGTTTGCTGTGGAGGATGCTGTTACTGGAACTGCCCTAGCTACAGCTAGCCCTGTTAAGTCACACATAATAGGCAAACTGTCCTGAGGTCAAAGTGCTGTCACTTCATACTGACTGCATCAGAAATAGAAATACATTATTGAATTCAGAACCCTCTATAACAAGAGTAAAAAATGTATTATTCTAAAGAGCATGAAAAACAGAAGCACTAACCTGCAAGTAGCCTTTCTCAATCAAATGTCTCTTGGCAAAATAAAATGAGCCATTTTCATACAGCTCCCCAGGCCAATCTTGCCTCCGGTACCGTTTTGCTGGATTCAGGTTTTGGGGCTCTGTCGTTTTGTTTTCTGTTAACGGAGAAAAATTACAAAATAAGCTTTCCAGAATCACTGTAACTCCAGTTCAGAGTCACTTAACTTTCTTTAAATAGCTCTCTGTTGAAAAATTAAGGACACAATTCAGTCCCCAACTTCTTTCATTATTGCCTTTCGTTGCTTACTTTATGAAGAATCACTGGATTGCTTGCTCTTTCTTGGAACTGTGGATAACAAACTGGAAGACTGCCCTGCATTTTTAGCAGGGAAAAAGGAAATTTTTCATTCCGACTTAAAAAAAAAAAAAAAAACCACTGAGAGGTCATCAGCTCCAAAACTGGTTCCTAAAAGGAGCAGGGGGGGACATTCTTCTAGACTGTCTTTGCCAATGTGAAAGAAATAGTATACTCTTTCCGTACTCTATCTCTTAGTACACAATGGGAAGGGGTTTAACTCGCAGTGAGGGTAAACACAAAAAAAACATTCAGCTACCTAC